CTTAAATCATCAAAAAACTTTACAAATAAAAGAAGTTTCAAAATTGGGACTGTGGTTGGTAGGATTTACGATAACCATGTGGAGATCTTCAACGTGGATATTGAAGTATTTGCTAAAGTTTTAGCATTTTTCTGAGAATATTTGCTGTTTTACCTTCATAAGAGCTAATAACCAGAATTTGTTAACTTCAAAGCAAATATTTCTGAAGTAACACGTCCATTGCAACTTCTCATGGCATGCTTGGTTGGTTGGATTGAACCTATTGTAGATTAGGGAGTAAAAAAAGATTGAAATCTTGTTTGTAGTAGTCTGTTTCAATAGTATATGATTGAGATAGGTCTTTGCTTTGTTTCTGAATCCTATGGCTTTTTATGAGATAATCCAAGTAACCAATATGATTACTTTTTCATTGTTTTCAACTGAATGCAAATATAGGTGCTTATTTCGTAAATGGTAGTGTTCATTAATTTACTGATGAGAATAATCATTAATGCATTTCTCCTACAAATGTTCTTGTAGATTGATGCTGTAAAATTATATGTTGGGCTGCCGCTTGATACTGTGTCCAACTCTGCTACAATAAACAACGCACGAGCAATTGCTGTTGGACTGAAGGCTTTAAAGTTATTGGGGGTAGACGGTGTGGAGCTCCCCGTTTGGTGGGGGATAGCTGAGAAGCAAGCAATGGGGAAATACGACTGGACATGCTACCTAGCCCTTGCAGAAATGGTCCGGAAAACGGGTCTTAAGCTTCACATATCACTCTGTTTTCATGCATCCAATGAACCCAAAATCCGACTTCCCAAATGGGTTTCTCAGATTGGAGAATCCCAACCAGATATTTACTTTGCTGATCGAGCTGGACAGCCATACAAAGACTGTCTATCCTTATCTGTGGATGATCTTCCTGTTCTAGATGGAAAGACACCGATTGAAGTGTACATGGGGTTCTTTGAGAGCTTCAAGTCATCGTTCTCAGCTTTCATGGGTTCCACAATCACGGTAAGTGATCTGGAATTTTTGTTTTCATTTTTTTTTTCTAGTAATACCCCTCGAGGATGGAGTTCTTATGAACCCTGAAATAAAAATGAAAACAAGAATTCCAGAAACAGTATGGTCCATCGTGCTTAATCTTATGAAACTGAGTTCTCATCGTGCTTAACCATACGTCTCCTCCTTGTAACAGGGCATATCAATTGGTCTTGGACCAGATGGCGAGCTCAGGTATCCATCTCAACGGCAGTCAGTCAAAGACAGTAGTCAACTAGGAGCTGGAGAATTTCGGTGCTATGACAAGAACATGCTAACTAATCTTAAGCAGCATGCAGAAACACTTGGGAATCCTCTATGGGGATTAGGCGGCCCACATGACACCCCCGGCTATGACCAGTCGCCAAACTCAAATGGCTTCTTTGCTGACGGAGGATCTTGGGAGACCCCATATGGAGACTTCTTCCTTTCTTGGTACTCGAGCCAGCTAGTATCTCATGGTGATCGGATTTTGTCACGTGCTGCCGAAACATTTAAGGATGTCTCTGTTTCTGTGTCTGGTAAAGTCCCTCTGATGTACTCATGGTATAGAACCCGATCCCACCCTTCCGAGTTAACTGCTGGAGTCTATAACACAGTCAATAGAGACGGTTATGAGGCAATTACTGAAATTTTCTCGAGGAATTCGTGCAATATTATACTTCCTGGAATGGACCTATCAGATGATCACCAGCCAAATGAATCCCGTTCGAGCCCAGAATTATTGCTTGCACAAATAATGTCGTCTTGCAGAAAGCACGGAGTAGAAGTCTCGGGCCAAAACTCGTTGGTTTCAGGTGGTCCTAAAGTTATGGAACAAATAAAAAAGAACTTGTTGGAAGAAAATGCAGTCGACTTGTTTACGTATCAAAGAATGGGAGCTTATTTCTTTTCTCCTGACAATTTCCCTTCGTTCACTCAATTCGTCCGGAACCTGAAACAGTTAAATCTGCACTCGGATGATTTGCCACAGAAAGATGACGAAACTGCTGATTCTCTCCCTGATATGGATCTCCACAGGCAAGTTGCTTAAGCAATACCATGCTAATAGAGGAATTCGACCCAGCATATCTATTTTTACCGGAAATGTAATCCTAGTAATTCACAACCGGCATGTTCTGTATGAGTATTCGACAGGGTTGAGATCTTTTTGTCTTTAATATTGTCTACTATTGTAAAGTCAGCTTTTTTCCCCGTCTCTGGACAAGATCTATACTACTTGTAGCTATTATATTATATTTGAAAATAGAAGAATATATGAATGAGAACGGTTTATCATTTTCATCATCGAGTTTACTCAATGGAAAAGATCTAGGAATCAACAGGTGTTTGTAAGATCGATTAGACAGTTTCTAGTGTTCATTTGGAAGAAAATATTATAAGCAAATTTTTTTTTTGGAGAACGTATGATTAAAAAGTAGAAAATGTGAAAATGAGTTTTAAGAAAAATAATTTTCAAATAGGTTGCCCTAAACAAAACATTAAATAAGTTAAAATTAAGTTTGTTGCACTAGTTGCTAAAATGTAATATTATATACCAGACGTGTACTTAATAAATTTTGATTAAGAAAACTTTCCGTTCAAACAATACTCAATATGTCTAATTTATACGTAAATCTGATCTTCCATATGGTCGAAATAGGTACAATAAATAACTTGATGCTACATTTCGTTTAAAGGTTGACAGAAGATAATGGACAAATTCATGTTCGACATGTTGATAGTCGTAAGGTTATCATCGTTAAAAACTAATTTCCCTATCGATGCACCCATAATGTGAGACAATCGCAGACCGGCTAACCCTATTAAACAGCAAGTTGTGAACGTCTGTTGGTGTGTTTGCGAGGGGCCAAAAAAAAGAATTGAGCAATTGGTTTGACCATAAGTATAACTATTTAGTTCATAGTTCAGGTCTCAAGTTCAAGTCAATGATTACGGAAAAAGCATAGGAGAAGAATCTGATTACTCCATATACGTTCTTAGCTCGGAGAGAGAGCTTGATTGGTAAAGTTCCAATCTTGCAATTAGATTATTTACAGGTTGGATGTCTAATTGTCCAGACAATAATGATAATATATAGTACCTGAACCGCTGGCTCACTTCCAAGTAATGAGGAAGAGGGTAGAAATATGTTATTGATTATTGAGACAACGATAGTTTATCAAAAATATAAGAGATAGAATGGATGTTGGTCAGGTTTAGTACGAATCATGGTAGTTGCTGTTTTGCCTTTTAAGAGATCTTGATTCAAATTAACATGGACGGGCTTTGTATTACTAATACACTAAATAAAAAAGAAAGAAAGCTTTATACTAAAAGTCTTTGACTTATTATCAACGAACAAGGATGTATATGCATAATGAATAAAGGCCTACTCAAATTTTACTTTTCACAAATGTCTACTGAGCTGGGACCAAAAACTCAAACTTAAGCCCATCCTATAGGGCCCAACAACAAAAATTGGTCGTATGAATAAAGCCCCTTGAAAACCCCGTGGATAACCAAGGGGTTGTTGAAGGGGCATGGCACTTGATAGTATTAATGACTTGTTGCAGGCACCTCCCCCAATAGGGGGTGCCACACAACCCCCTGGTTATCCAAGGGGTTGTTCAAGGGGCACGGCCCTTGATAGTATTAATGACTTGTTTGAAAAGGTCAAATGTACTTCAAAAAAAGAAACATGAAAGAAAATCTTATCCATCGTAATATCCAGTTTTATTTAGAACTACATATCAAACTCACCTTATTTATATCAAAAAAAAAAGAAACTTGGAGGAAACTAAACTGAATGCACAAAGGGGTAAACTAGCATATACAATAAAAGATTTCATATCTTCCAAGTTTATATATTCGAATTTTGGCAGTTAAAACGTATGTGCAACATAAATGAAATTGCATCGGTACTTACAAGGGTCATGTAACAGTCCGCATGAACTCAGAGCAAACCGTGCAAAAAAAAAACTGGGAAAATGAATAAGCAAGTCATTAAGGAATGGAAAAGTGCACCATTAGCACCCAAGAAAAAGTAGTCGGCGACTATATTGCAACAAGGTCAGCCAGTTGGGGACTAATAATACAATTTTCACTTAAAATTTTGTTAGAATGTGATGGGTGGAGAAGTCATAAAAACCTAGTTCTGCAAGAAGCAAGAAAAGTAAAAATATCCACAACAGCAACAAAAGATTATTTCCAAAATAAACTAGTATGCACACAAGGGAAGAGAGGACAGAAAAAGTAGACATATCTGCATTTTTAAATATTTTCTATATACCACTACTAAAGTTCAAAGATAAAAATACAGAAAAGTAAAAAGAGATAGGACTGGCCTCTTTCCATCTTATTTGTTCATCATTCACAATGCAATCACTTCCCTGGAAATTAAGAAACATGTAGTTAGTAGCAGATGACATACGTAGGCTGAATGTCTTTCATTAAAACAATGTAAGATTACCAAACCAATCAAAACTGATGTAATTATCCATGTTTTGCCAAAGTTCAAAGAAACAGGGGTCTAAACTCGGAAATGTGCAGTTATTTTGATATATGAAAGAATGTAAACTCATACGTGTAGGAACATAGACAGAGCAACACTTGAGAAAAATAGAAAAACGACGAAGGTGAGATGGCAATTTATAAAACATGTTATATTTTTCACTGATTAGGGATATGATTCCATGCACAAGGTAACTAAAGCAGAACAATATATCATGCGTTTGACAAAGATTATATGAGCATATATGGACGAAGGAATTAGATTTATACCGCTCAATGTGTATCATTCACGAGTACTTTTAGTATCAAAGCTGCTAAGAGAGATGGCAAATGCCTGGAATGCTGACAGCGGATAGCTGAAGTCCATGGTGAACGCATCTTTCCCAACTTTCCCAAACTGAAGGAAGATCTTTTCGTTTTCTGCCCCAACCACACCATTCTCTGGAGAAGCCACCAACTGAAAGTTCTTCACTGATGCAACTGTCACGCGTCCATGGAAGTTCAAACACCAGCAATGGAGCTGCTGGTTCCATCTTGGAGCCTCGTTTCTCAAAACAAGCGATGCCTCTTTTTTGCTATCCAAAGGTGCAGACAGGGATTTATCCAATCGATTTGAATTTGACCAAAAAAAGGGGATCGCCGGAAAGGAATTGGCCTTGCTGAAAGGGAAATCAATCTGTATTGGAGCCACACCTCCAGGTTTAATGGCAGAAGCTGGAATTGTATCCATGACACAGTGCATTCTTCTTGGACTCCTGCATGTGGCATAATCTATCTGTACATTAACATCCAATCTTTTAGATACTCGATGACAATTTTTTTACGATTCTATCGTGTGGGAAATACCACGGGCATTTGTTAAACAAATAACTTCGCAACTCTTTTTACTCTTTTAAGGATACTGTTTCTATTAAGATCGAGCATTTTTTGTTTAAACTTTTGACTATATCTGTTGAGTAAATAAGACTACAAGAACAGCATGAATCCCCTTCTTACCTGGCTCCCAGCACATTCAACTCATACGTGATCTGGGCTACTGGATAGTTGCCAGCAGGAACTCTTGGAGATATTTTTAAGCCAACCATCTGAGTGGAGCGAGTTTGGAGCATTTTGGCCCCAGCATGGGGAGGCAGAGCATCATATACAACAAACTTATTTCCCAGAAAATTAGATCTGCCAACATAAAACTCTGCCGTTATTGAGTCTCTTTGGAAATGCAAAATATCATTCAACAAGCTAGAAGTTGAGACATACCTCAGTTTTCCTATATAAGAGCCACTTGCCCTGAACATATGGTCAGGATGTAGAGAGATCACGTACTCCGTGAATGCGGGGCGCCTAAACCTACGAGCAGCTAGAAGAAACTTGCCATCATCAGCCAGCGCTGCCAGAGAAGAGAAGAATGGATGTCAAAAGAAAATAAGACAACGTCTGCGAATCCTCTCGCCAAGAAATACTATAAAGGTATCTGGCAAAGAGTGATGAATAGTAGACAATACATACAAGAATAATGTAGCTAAGCTAGATGTAGTCGGGGCACAACAGCGCAAACCTTGACTTAAGCTTAGGTAAAGATAATGCATTTGTGTAGCACGATTCCGTTTTACAAAACACTGGATAACAGATTCTCTTGGACCTGGCTGCAAAGCAGAAAAAATGTTTCTAAGAATATATAAGATACTAAATGCATTTGATAAAAGATAATTTTTTTCGTGTTCCCAAAGTGAAATATTAATTGAGGATGGGCGAAAAAATAAGATTTATTATTGGCATTTTGTCGCAAATAAATACAAATTACGTTGCACAACATGGAGAACAGACAAAAATTGAAGAATGACAACAACTTAGAAGAACTTCTAATTTAAGGTAGCTGGATCAAGAAAACCAGTGAATGTCGGTGTTGACATTTGTACGACTTATAGATGTTGGCTTGCCCTTAAAGTCACTAAAAGAATCTCTTCATCGCAAAAGGTTGAGCACAACTAAAATTGGCAGTTACTATTATGTGGACCTATTTAATTTTCTGAAACTACAAACTGAGTGGTTGAGAATTCAAAAGTTCAGCCGTCGAATCCATATAAAGAAACAAAACAATTTCCATCCGTGTCACCGAAGAGGATACATAAAATTACGGACTTTATACAAAAAGCACAGATAAAGACAAGAAACTAACAAATTCAAAAGGAAATTTTATGCTCCAGTGCTAAAGAGTTGAACCCCAAACTGATCGTGCAACTTGAAAACTGCATTGAATGATTTTCTTTTATGATTATCAATCTTCTCCATAAAATCACAATCTGAAATGTTCAGGAACAAATTGAAGAACTGTGAATATTCATAATGATGCTCAGCGCATTCTTTTTTAAATCTCTCATCTATACTGATAGGCAGTGTAAATTTTAATTTAAGGCCAATTGAACATTACTGCAAAATTAATACCACCAGCCAAACTAATCTTAGATGACAGTAGTCTACCAGAAATTCTCCCCTTGTATGATCATCAATCTAGCTCTATAAAAGTTAAAGTCAAAACTTGACAGCACCAAAAATTTCTTGTAACTAGCTTTAGAAAGTTCAAAAATTCTATACATGCACTGAAGAACTCATGATTATTAATTCATATCAAAAGCAATGCACATTAAACTTGTCTAGTTATCACATAATCCCAACCCAAAATTCATACTTATACAAAACCAACAAATCAAAAACTACCCAAAACAAAAATTTTCCACACATAACAATCAACAAAATTTGACTAAATACTAAAACAAAACAACTACAAAAATTATTTACAGCTAAGTCTTGAGAAACTGTACCTGCTTAATGGATATAGGAAAAGTGATTTTTCCAGAAACCTCAAGGGTTTTGATCAACTCCTTAATTATCTCCCTCCAGCTTTTACACACACCTGCACACGCCACTACGTGTTTTCTCGCGGGCCAACTGGATTCAGAATCCTCTATCTTCATCAACACTTCCCTCAATAGCTCTGGGGGCATGTTTGCCCAATAACAATTCCCTCCCTCGATTTCATCCATATCCCGGTTATGTCTCTTACTAATTTCTCTGCATGTGGTATATCTATATCCATAATTCCATCTTCATACCCTCCTGCTCAATTAGCTTGTTCGTAAACAAATGCATACCGATTCTGGCCACTATCATGAAAAAAACCCAAAAATTTAGCTTAAATTAAAAATTTACGAAATTGGGTATATCAAAACATACAAAAAATTGCCCAGATAAATCTTTGCATACATTTATATACTCGCAGCTTGAAAGAGGAACTGGAATGGTTAAAAAGGTCTTGAAATTGAAACCCAGTCGGTGGGTTTTTGATAGTTTTGCGAGAAATGACAAAGAATGCTGACGGAAATGGGAGTTGGGCTAGGTTTAGGAGTGTTATGTACATACAAAAGCTATACAAATGGCAGTGTGTATAGAATTGTAAGGCAGCAGTGGTTAAAGAGAGATGATAATTGCCTCTTCTTTCTGTTGGTGGTAGGGTAGGCGTGGAGGTAGTTCATGTTTGGCTAAGCTTAAAAAGTTTGCATAAATATACTTATAAGTAAACAGAGATTTTAAATTAAATTTTTTTTTTTATATATATTGATGAGAGTTAGAAAATAAGTTACTTTTTCGCTAAAAAGTTACTTCAAAATAAGAATAATCTAAATTATTTTTTTTAGTTCATGCCAAACACGCTCTAAGATATTTTGTCAAAATTTTATAATTCATTTAGCACTACTATCCCATACTATCTTTCTTCAATATATGAAATAGATTCTCAATTACAATTTATTTTATTTTATGTTATTCTTTTAGGTGTTTTTGTTACAATAGAATGAAGTAAGAATAAATTTGATATTGTCAACACAATGCTTGTACTTCTTAAGGAACATGTATGTTGAACTCTACTTACCAATTGTAATATACTAATAAAAAATAGTTGTCATGTAAAAGGCACAAATGTAAATACAAAACATGCCTGACGAAAACTTCACAATCAAGTGGTCGGCACAGTCAGTATAATAATGACATTTTGTTCATATGTAACGAATGAGTTCGTTGTATATCACTAGCGTGTGCATTCTGCTATTAGAAATCTTCTATGAGTTAACTAATGGCTCTCTTGTTTAATGCTAATCGTTAGTATTCTAAAAAATGCGCATTGACAATAAACGCAAAATTAAGCGGTCAACTGTCAAGTTGATCGTTTAATGTGCGACTAAGTGTGCTTTATTATTATTTTCTTTCCCTTTTTTAAAGTTTTTTATTTGACTTTAGTTTCATGTTTTTCTTTTAAATTTGTATAATTAAGTGTAGGAATTATTAAGTAATATAATTTTTTATATTTTAGATGTTTGGTATGTAATATTTTAATCATTAAATAATTTTTAAAATGATTAAACATAAGAAAACTCAGTTTCACGTCTAGACCTCGCCTAGGCTCGTAAAGTTTGAAGTTTGACATCCACTCTATACTTTTTAGAAACGCTGCTAATGATATGTATAGAAATTCCACAGTCAACAAATCAAGCAAGGTGCAATTTGTCAAGCTAGATTGACCCCTATTTGTTGGTCATTATTTTAAAAAAAAAAATGATTTTTTAAATAGTGATTTTTTAAGAATGTGTAGTTAAAAAGTAGAAAAAGATTTCGATTTTTTGTGCAAATTTTTATTATGTGAATATGTGATTGAAAAGAAATAGATGACAGTAGTCTACCAGAAATTCTCCCCTTGTATGATCATCAATCTAGCTCTATAAAAGTTAAAGTCAAAACTTGACAGCACCAAAAATTTCTTGTAACTAGCTTTAGAAAGTTCAAAAATTCTACACATGCACTGAAGAACTCATGATTATTAATTCATATCAAAAGCAATGCACATTAAACTTTTCTAGTTATCACATAATCCCAAACCAAAATTCATACTTATACAAAACCAACAAATCAAAAACTACCCAAAACAAAAATTTTCCACACATAACAATCAACAAAATTTGACTAAATACTAAAACAAAACAACTACAAAAATTATTTACAGCTAAGTCTTGAGAAACTGTACCTGCTTAATGGATATAGGAAAAGTGATTTTTCCAGAAACCTCAAGGGTTTTGATCAACTCCTTAATTATCTCCCTCCAGCTTTTACACACACCTGCACACGCCACTACGTGTTTTCTCGCGGGCCAACTGGATTCAGAATCCTCTATCTTCATCAACACTTCCCTCAATAGCTCTGGGGGCATGTTTGCCCAATAACAATTCCCTCCCTCGATTTCATCCATATCCCGGTTATGTCTCTTACTAATTTCTCTGCATGTGGTATATCTATATCCATAATTCCATCTTCATACCCTCCTGCTCAATTAGCTTGTTCGTAAACAAATGCATACCGATTCTGGCCACTATCATGAAAAAAACCCAAAAATTTAGCTTAAATTAAAAATTTACGAAATTGGGTATATCAAAACATACAAAAAATTGCCCAGATAAATCTTTGCATACATTTATATACTCGCAGCTTGAAAGAGGAACTGGAATGGTTAAAAAGGTCTTGAAATTGAAACCCAGTCGGTGGGTTTTTGTTAGTTTTGCGAGAAATGACAAAGAATGCTGACGGAAATGGGAGTTGGGCTAGGTTTAGGAGTGTTATGTACATACAAAAGCTATACAAATGGCAGTGTGTATAGAATTGTAAGGCAGCAGTGGTTAAAGAGAGATGATAATTGCCTCTTCTTTCTGTTGGTGGTAGGGTAGGCGTGGAGGTAGTTCATGTTTGGCTAAGCTTAAAAAGTTTGCATAAATATACTTATAAGTAAACAGAGATTTTAAATTAAATTTTTTTTTTTTTATATATATTGATGAGAGTTAGAAAATAAGTTACTTTTTCGCTAAAAAGTTACTTCAAAATAAGAATAATCTAAATTATTTTTTTTAGTTCATGCCAAACACGCTCTAAGATATTTTGTCAAAATTTTATAATTCATTTAGCACTACTATCCCATACAATCTTTCTTCAATATATGAAATAGATTCTCAATTACAATTTATTTTATTTTATGTTATTCTTTTAGGTGTTTTTGTTACAATAGAATGAAGTAAGAATAAATTTGATATTGTCAACACAATGCTTTTACTTCTTAAGGAACATGTATGTTGAACTCTACTTATCAATTGTAATATACTAATAAAAAATAGTTGTCATGTAAAAGGCACAAATGTAAATACAAAACATGCCTGACGAAAACTTCACAATCAAGTGGTCGGCACAGTCAGTATAATAATGACGTTTTGTTCATATGTAACGAATGAGTTCGTTGTATATCACTAGCGTGTGCATTCTGCTATTAGAAATCTTCTATGAGTTAACTAACGACTCTCTTGTTTAATGCTAATCGTTAGTATTCTAAAAAATACGCATTGATAATAAACGCAAAATTAAGCGGTCAACTGTCAAGTTGATCGTTTAATGTGCGACTAAGTGTGCTTTATTATTATTTTCTTTCCCTTTTTTAAAGTTTTTTATTTGACTTTAGTTTCATGTTTTTCTTTTAAATTTGTATAATTAAGTGTAGGAATTATTAAGTAATATAATTTTTTATATTTTAGATGTTTGGTATGTAATATTTTAATCATTAAATAATTTTTAAAATGATTAAACATAAGAAAACTCAGTTTCACGTCTAGACCTCGCCTAGGCTCGTAAAGTTTGAAGTTTGACATCCACTCTATACTTTTTAGAAACGCTGCTAATGATATGTATAGAAATTCCACAGTCAACAAATCAAGCAAGGTGCAATTTGTCAAGCTAGATTGACCCCTATTTGTTGGTCATTATTTTAAAAAAAAAAATGATTTTTTAAATAGTGATTTTTTAAGAATGTGTAGTTAAAAAGTAGAAAAAGATTTCGATTTTTTGTGCAAATTTTTATTATGTGAATATGTGATTGAAAAGAAATATGAGAATGAAAGATTTTTTTTTTTTTAAAGGAAAGACAAAAAAGGGCTTATTTTATATTTATGAAAAAAAATATATTGAAATCATTAGCTTGATATATATAATTAACCCTCTCTACCGATGAGAGTCGAGCTTAGGTCATTGTTCTGTTAAGACTTCATTCTTGTCAACTGAACTAGGCCTTGAACTCATAATCAAAAAAGGTTGAACTCCAACCTTAAGGGTCCCCTACCACCCCTGCTCTGGAGTATCGTGAGGGAGGTAAATCCCAGGTTATGCCTCCAAGGGTATAGGATGGAAGGCTGCTTGTACACTTGCACTTACCCAAGAGCCAAATCCATATTTCAGGATTCGAACCCTTAACGCAGGGCCTTGAACTCATAATCAATCACATTTGTAGTGGCCTTTTAAATTATGTTTATAAAATTTAATTTTTGATGAATAATACTTGATCAAGCCGCATAGATGTCAAAAATTGTCTTCTTTATTCTAAATATTAGGAGGAATATAAAAAACAAACACAAGGACTGGAAATACCTGTAATTTTACAAATTTAAATTTGAGAAAATCAAGTTGCCTTTTACTATCTCCGTCTTATAAAAATAGACTTATTTATATTTTTGTAGAAATTAAGACAGCCTCCGTCCCATAAATTTTTCTAATATATCCCTACATTAAATATGATTAATTTACACTTGTTAATAACAATGTACATTAAACGAGGACATATTTAGAAACTGCAAAACATGAATATTTTAAATAAGGAAAGTGACGAAAAAAACTCAAACCTATTTTTATGGAATGAAGTTTGAATAATTGGCGGAACAATCAATATTGGGAGGCTCTGGAACCAAGTGTGGGGAGTTCAATTCCTGGTGGGAACCTTTGATCCAATAAAGGAGGAATTATTGGTGGATTAATCACCATGGAGGAGGCTTCCTTTGGGGAAGGAGTAAAAGTCATGTGGGAATCTGGAAACCAACAAGGGCACATCCTGCGATTTACCTCTCTGAGCAGCTGAGGGGCCGGAGGTTTAGGAACGAGGATATAGTTTGGCGCAAGCTGGGACACCTCGTTTAAAAAAAAAAAAAAAAAAGTTTGAATAATTGAAGGGTGGTCCCTCCATAAACTAAAGAATATTTTCCAACTTTATACACTTAAAACCCAAAGACAAAAACTGCACAAGTAAATCTTCGTAATCTCTTTATGCAATTCTCACATACCAAGCTAGGTTTAACTTTCCAACTTAGAAATTCGATACTTTATCCGTCCCATTTATACAAGCTCACTTTTCTTATTTATTTTATTTTATTTTTGTCTCAATTATATAATTATGTTTCTTTATCGGAAATGTCTTGTTTTGTTCATTTACTAATATATCCTTGTTTAATTTATCTAATTATGACCAATTTTCCCCGTTTCATCTTGAATTTGTACTAAATAAGGGTAGTTTTTTTTTTCAATATCATTAAATAAGATTTCTTAATTCATGTGAAAAACAAACCTAGCATATATAAATGTGACAAAGAGAGTATGATTTAAATTTCCAACTTAGAAATTTGATATGAGACATAATTCCACGATAACCACTGTCACAATTGTATAAGATTTGGATAGTTTGTACTCTTTGAGACTGATTTGCAACTATAATGAAAGGTTAGTACCAGCTCGCTCATTTCTAGATTAAAGACAAACTTGTTACTAGGAGAATAAGTTGCAGTCTGATGATGCATTTTTTCAAAAATTAAATATTCGATTGCGCTACATGTATGTTTATCAACATATGATGTGGCGTGATATAATTGAATCAAAATTTCACAAACCAACTAAACAAATAAAATTCCTCCTTTCTTTTTGCCACATAGATAATTATATTACCTCCACAATATTTACTTGTTACACCACAATTTTAATTAATTTTTTGTTTACTTAAATGAACCTAAGTATAATTACTTAATTAACCACAATTTTATATAAATTTTTAACATAAAACATTTTTATTCAGACACCACAACACCATTTTTTATCCATGAATCACCTCTCAAGATCAAGTAATATATCAAAAATCTGCGAAGATGTAATCTTCAACGACTTGGTGTCAGAATTCACCATTTTTTTCCCCTCTCCCATGAGAGTGCTAGAAATATATTTTAGAAGCAATGAAGATATATGCTCAATGAACATGTGCAACCAATATTTTCGTTTCAATTCAATACTAAAGTGTACATTCTGAACATAAACAAGCATCAGCTTACATGATATTTGAGTAGGGATGACAATGAAATGGGTTACCCCGCCTCCCGTACTGTTACCCGTTTAAGGCGGGACAGGACCTTTACCCGTTTATGTACTCCTTTTTTCTTTAAATTTTTTATAATTCATTTTATTGCTCTCATTCATTAAAGTGGGACAATAATATAGTTATTAAAGTTTTTAATAAATTTATTTATTTTTGAAAGTTAAAATATTTGAATATATTTGGTAAACTAAGATTCTTATTGTTTATCGTATTCCTTGAATAATTTTAGTTGGCATATTCTATTAGAATTAATGAAATTTCGTGGAGTATTCCATTTAAAATACTGAATTCTTATAATAATAATAAAAAAAAAAAAATTTACTGGGCAAGACGGATGTTATCCATACCCGCCTTGGGGAGGAATTCCCTATGCCTGAACCCACCCCAAACACCCCCACAGGTATCTGGTTTGGCATGTTTTTTTGCTATCCCTATACTCGAGCAATAATCCATGGAAATATGGCTCGTCAATCATGCATTCAATAGAAGATGGAGAAGGGAATTTCTAATGGCTGATCTCCTATACAAGCTTTTCAAGTGCATCACTTGTGAGAGGAATATATAGATAGTCTTACCCGTCCGAATTTCTTCTGGTCTTCACCAGTTCGTGATCTTTGAATTCCGTCAGATGAACATTAAGAGTAATCTGGCTACTAACCAAAAAGTGTTCAAGACAAATTGGGAATAAATTACTCATTTACATCCCTTCTTCGTCGGGATGGCGCTTGACAAGTTGGTCGGGAAGAATGTGTGAAGAAAGAGAGGGAAATAAAGGGTAATATTGTGTAGTTATAATGTGGTGCATCAAATAAATTTTGTGGTGGTAATATAATTACCCTTTTGCCACCTTACCAATCTGTAAAATAATCTATGAATGATAATGGACAATGAACATTTTCCTCAAATATTTAACCTGAATCAGAGTTAAAACTTAACTATATATATGACAATCGAGAGATTGAGACAAGACAGGAAATAAAACATCCTCATTACTACCCCATTTAGTCATATTTATTTCTTTAATATTATTGTTTTTTCAGATACAATTTAAATTAGAGAGAGTAAAAGATTTAGGGCAGGTTCGAGAAATTCTGGGCGGGAACGGGATTTACCATATCAATTTATGGGACGGAAATTTTTGTCATATCTAGTTAAAAAGGTCGTGTTACCTATAACCCTAACAGGGTCATTTTGATATGCAACTGCTGAGCAGAATTTAAGACAGAGACGAACAATTGGTAATAGGCCAAAAAATGATATAATATTCGCTATAACAGGAAAAGATGATGAACAACTGTTACTCATTGATTTTCTGACCTTTTTTCGCCCTTCACTACTAAATTAGAAACATGTATCTACAAACTACAGAATATATATATACGTGGGTGTTGTCAACACTGTTGGATGTCCAATGTATCACATTAGTCAGAAAGCACTTTTTTAGGAACTCTGCAGTTTAATTAGCCTTAACCTGGTAAAAAAGAGCAAAAAGGAAAATAACTTTACCGAGCAAAATATTTCCTTCGGGACTTCTATAAGACTGGAACACTTCAATTAGCCTGCTGCACGGTCCCTATAGGTTCTCCTGTGGAAGTTAATTCAGAAAGCTTACACCCATTACCAGTTCTATGATGAAATGGAAGTCACAATATTATTGCTAGTTTTACATGTAGTAGAAATGCCATTTTTACTTCCATACGTGCTATAAATCTTATGTATTGAGAGGAATCTCTATATATCCTCAATGCCTGCTAGATCATAGTGCAATATGTTGATAATTAAAACCACTAATTCTATTCCACCGAAAGCAATCAATTTGCAAAAAGAAAAATAGAAACTCAAAAACACGCAAGATTTATAGAAATTCTCTTCAATGTAAGACTACATCTTCTTCTGCAACTACAGTAATTCACTATGATGATAAAAATTTACAAGAGAATCGCATGCCCTATCTTCTCCAACCCTTCTCTCTCTCATGATAATAATAAAATCCTGATGACAGCTAGGTCGATCCACGTACTGACTTCGAATAGCAGCAATAATTAGGTTCCGTAACTTAACAAAATTGTCATTTGATGGGTCTAGAGAACTATAGAACCTAACACAATTTTATATCGTTGGTTTTAAAAAGGAAACTGACTGGCTAAATTCTGAACAAAACATTATAACAGCGGGGAATCCTGCGAGGAACGAACTTCACAGTAACACCAGCCTGGTGTGTGTCATCTCTGTCAATAAAATGTCGCATTGTGGACCAAAAACTCACAAGTACAATATCAACCAATCAAGTGGTCAGAGAGAGAAATCCCAACATATGTTAAAAAAATCACTTAATAGAGGTGCATAAAATAAAAACTGGAGATACAAGATTGCTATGAAAATTTCTAAACTATATTAATATAGATGAAAAGTAAAGGTTAGTCTGCATGGGGGGTGAGGGTTGGGGTTATGACGAGATGGACCACTCAGAACACCAATTGCAGACCCCATGCATTGCTATATTACTATTCATAGCCTACAATTGATGTTAACGACTCTCTTGCCAAGTTATCTAACGGTATAACTAGCATTTTAAAATGTAATAGCTACCAGAGGGAATTGCTAACCTGTTCTGCCTGCAAAAGAATAAGAGTTTGGAATGTAATTGCTCCTTATATTTCCAATAGAAGTGTGAGGTTCCATGGTATTAGTCACAGGAAATGGAGATGAAATATTTGTGGCTGGAACGAATCCTAGTGATTTGGCAAAGTACAATTTCGAATTGCCTGCGTGAATCTGATCAAGTGTTTGCCCAAGATGCAACAAATGTTCGTCTCTCTGTTACATCGTAAAAAATAGTTTTAGCCACTAGAAAGTGGTTTACAAGGATTTATTATAACAGACACAGAATGAATGTTAAATCCATGCTTGTATTTTCAAGCCACAACAATGTTTAGCAGTGAGTGGGGGCATCTCCAATGGTAGACCAACTTGGTTACTGGTGTAAAAATCTACTCCGATGGTACATTAAGGCCCGTTTGGTACCCATTTTTTTAAAAATACATTTTTCTCTCTTCTTTTCAATCACACATTCTTTACTAAAAGAATATTACACGTAAATAAAAAAAATTCCTTATTTTTCAACCACACATTTCCCATCAATTTACTATTCTAAAATGCATTTTTACATGAAAATGGGTCTCGAACACCCTCTAAATCATCGAACCAATTTGGTGTAATGAATTATGTTACATCAAATTTTGTGTAACACTAATCATTTGGTGTAATTTTTGAAGTTTTTCATTATTCCCATTTTGCTCTTCATTTTATTATATTATAACAAATTGTAATTCCTTATATATCATTTTCCTATCCTTTCAGTATTTAATGATTTAATTGAATACATTAGCCCCTAATTGTTTCCCTTTAAAACAAAACTCTTTAATTCTCATGCTTATTTTCAACCACACATAATATTTTGCATATAAATTCAAAACATTTTCGTACTTTTTAATCATACATTCTCCAAAAAATACCATTCAAAACTTCATTTTTTTTCAGAATAATAGCGATCAAACAGGGGCTAAACTAAAATTGCTCATTAAATCTCAAAACTTACAAATTTGATAATTAGAAATTAAGAAGAAATTAGCAATTGAACAACATAAATGTCTGGAAAAAAATGGATTTAAAGTACCATACAACATTAAATGATAAAAATAGTTGCGATTTTTATTATACGTAACTTTTTTTGTGCATTTATTTTAATTTTTTAAATTTAGTATTCAGTTCAATGCCTTTTTTTATTTATTAATAAATACAATATTTTAGTTCATTAAATATAATTTTTAATTTAATAATGTTAGTAATAATATAATTTGTTATTAAATAACTTCTGAAATAAATAAATTGTTGAGAAATAAATAATTAGGAAATAAATGAAATATTATTTATTTGCTGTAACCATTGGAGAGGTCACCTCAAATTGGTGTGAACCATTGGAGATTCCCTGATGATAGCTGACATTCATATGGATAAGAAGTAATCAGGCATGCCTTCCAATAGTATATCAGAATGAATTAATTTTCAAAATATTTTTAGTAGGATAAAATACATCTAGTGTCACTGCTTTCAAAAAAAGGTGAGATACATGAGGCAGGTGAGTGGTAGCAATATTTTTCTACTAGAACTCGATTTGATTATATAACCATTTAAGAATCTTAAGATTCACTTAAAACTCCATCTAGATTACCCAGATAAATGGATGTCCTAGAAAAACTGAATTTTATTTTAAAGATACCCAACCGTATAGTAAGTTCTCAGTCCAAACCTCGACTCCATTTAGGTTTCCATTTCCGTGCTTTTTCACAAGTAAATAACAACATTATAAGTAAGCATTTCCGTTTCCTTCCGGGTTTCCACGTTTGCTTAAGTATGCTTCAAGTTACTACTTCATAGAAACATTAATGCATTCGAGATTCAGTTAAGCGTTTCAACTTGAAGAGAAGAGCATAGATTCAGATGCATAACTTCCAAGAAAGGTAACTATTAGCCTTAAACTGTCAGCATGTATGAATGATAAGTTTTAGCATGAACATTTATGAATAGATCACAAAAACAATTACTTAAAACTTAAATTTATTTACCAAATATGCCAGTTCTTTGGATTGAGACAATGAAGAGGCGAGCATTCGTCATTATATCAAGAAACAGATGAGTGGCTGAAATTGACCTGCGGGTTCTCAACTTGTCCATGGTTAAGGTAGCTGGGAGATGAAGTTTGTTTTTGCTCTGAATTGACTTGAAATTCTTCTGAAGTAATAAATTCACCACTTTGTTCCTTCCTTGATTCCGCATAATACATGTGACTAATGACTCTTCGGAGATAATGGTTTCTTTGAGAATAGTACATTTTAGTTGCAAGGGGAGCAGGAACGTCTGAGATTGCTACAACAAGTTTACTATCATCAAAAGTAATACTAAAACAACATTCGTAAAGCACAGCGTAGAATTACTTTTGACTACCATGATTACAGTGAAACCCCTCCAAAGCCCTACGACACATTTTGGCTCTCCGAACAATATGTTAATGTTAGTTTAACCAAAAGCATATGCAGCTACGACTTTTTAATCCATTAGAAAAAATAAATCAACAATTCTAACAATTCTTTAGCCATAGACCAACACTAGAGATGGCCATTGGGCCAGAGACATGAAAAGGTACCTTTGGTTACTAAATTTTCATAGATTTGATCTGAGGTTTGATTTCCAACAACACCTTTCGATATCTTCTCACTTGCTCCATTTGATCTAGTTGGAAGCTCTCGACCTAAACCCATGAAAACAGAAGCACCACACAAGCACAGCAATTGTGCATCAGCAACACATTTCCAGGAAACCCGGGGGTACCAGTATATGAAACAGAGACATTGTCTATGAGGAGCTCAACAAACTAGAGATATGACATACCCAAAATTTTGAACAATCTAGCTTCCAGCTAGGGCATATAGGAGGTTTACAGAATAAGGCAAGACGCAAATGCATACCAGATATATGTTAAGTGTGCATGCAAACCTGTTCCTATGTTTTGTTGCCGAATATGTGTAGTATAAGTCACTACCTTGGCTCTATTTTCTAATAACCTGCTAGTAAGGAACAGTTGGTGACCAGCGGAGGAAACGAGTGCAAAAAGGTATACCTCAATATACAAAATATGGGGAATAAAATCCATGACAGATTTTAGAAATACACAAAGAATCAGAATTGGCTGAATCTTTGTGTTGATTCCCACCAAGTGCATATCAGCATAGAAGAGTACGTAAAATAGAAAATGCAAAGCATTCTTCCAGGAATCCTAACCAACTCATGGATAAGATGGGGAGAGACTGAGTAAGGAAATTATATATTTCAATCATGCTTTGGTCACATCTAACATTGATGACCATTTAGCTGCAGAAAGGTACTCTCTGAAAAGAGTATTACTATTTTATAGAAGGAAGTTAACATATTCGAGTCACGCTTAGGTCAAATTTAGTATGTAGGACCATTTATCTGCAGAAAGGTACTATCTGAAAAGAGTATTACTATTTCCGCAATGGAATTCCTGCAAAATGGCTGTCACGTTTGAATTGAGACTACAAGGAAAATCTTGGCCATCACTAATCTCTGGTCAAAACATAATTTTGTATGTAAATTGAAACTAGGCACCAAAAGACTATTAATTGCCTTTTCAACTCTACCTTCGTCTTGAAGAGTTAGCCATAGAAATTTTGCTTGCTTCTCCAGAAGTAATGAGAGAATCAGGTCAAAAATTTAGATGATAAAAGGGATCAAAACTACTTTCAGCAGACCTACTGGAGAGAACGAAACTGGGAACTTTCAAGAGAAAGGAACTCTAATTGAACGTATGATCTCCATTTAAGATTTTTAAATTGGGAATTATTATTTAATTTCATCGAATGTTTGAATTCAGAGTCTTTGAGGTGTCCCAATCACATTCTCTGCATGCCTACTAATGCTACCTTCCCACCGGGGGGGGGGGGGGCCCCCCCCACAAAAAGGGGGGGGGGGGGGGGGGGCACCCCAACAGACAAATTTCAACACATAGGCACAAAACAAAGATGAAAGAAAACAAAGTGAGAAGGAAACATTCCTATTGCACAAATTTCTATAAAATTGTGCAAAAGCATACTACTGTCAAAAGAAAGGAAAGGGCTTACATTGAAGGACATCTTCAGGTGTTATACATGGAGCCTTGACGTCCGGACATGATTGAATCTCAGATATGGCCCTACAATATAAAAGTAGATTATGTATGAAACCTGAATGATAGGAAATACTCCTTGATCATAGAATACCTTTAGTCAAGATATTTGCACTGTTTCAATGGAAGAGCCTCCCAGTACCAGTATTATAATTCTCATGGTTTAGTTCTATCATTTCTCATGGTTACTTGCTCATGTACAATTGTTTGAACAAGTATTTCTAGTCAATACCATAAAAGGAAGCACATACCCGGGGGAAGAAATAAAGAGGAAAATTCGGGGCGTCTGTCAAAGTAAAATGATCAACCCTGAACAAATCACAATTTCTAAATTTTCCCCTAGGAATTGCATCATGCATGTACCATGAAGGCTGATAACCAAAAGTAAAATTTCAGGCGAACTACTAGCACTGTAACATCCTACCATCTGATTGTGCAACAAGTTGAATTGGTTAGCTGCTATAATAAAATGGGCAGAGGAAGAAAAGTAAAAGAATACAAAATGATGCAGTTGGTTTTAAAGATGTATGAATACATCATAATAAAAAAAAAATTACGGAATGTTTTGTTGGACAGCATCAAAGATAAAGATGCATCACGCTCCACGTACCTTTTGACGCGTTTTGGTGGACTCAGTATCAATGTTTCTGAACGCTCCATATTATCAGGATTAACTTTCAAACTATTCATTCTTGGTGTCTCATTCACACACTTTGTGTTTCCTACAATGCAGATTGTTCACATATCTCTTCAAAAGATTTGATTTTCTGAAGATTCACAAAAATGTAACATATTGCATGCATAATAAAGCAGAGACTTCAATTTGGAATAACATTTCACGACAATTACTAGTAGAATAGCAATTAATAAATTGAGACCAACAGCACGCGCTAAAGGTACTGTGAAAGACAAAATCGTGATATTTGAACGAAATTTTAAAATTTGGGAGGGGGGGGGGGCTGAGGGGGGAGAGAGTACTATACGTTTTGCTCCAGCTAAGGGAATCATTCGAAGCTCTTCATCAAAATGTGATTCTGGATCAGTAATAATGACAGAATCTAGAGATTCAAACTTTTCTTGTTCCAGAACTGTTGTAGCTTGGTAAATACGAAGTTAAGAACAATAATTTTTTTCCTGTAATATAAGAAATTCCATATAGTTAAAGTCATCTATCAATGATAATTTTAAGAAAATCAGTAGAATCAACACTTTTTGCTTGTCATACATGCTCTGTCTAAGTTTGATTTTGGGACCATGTCTTGGAAAAGATGTAACTGTGACCAATAACGTGCTAGAATTTCAAATAAATATATATTGTAAAGCAAGAGAATTGATCATATTCTTGAGAGAGGAAAAGGATACTAGCATGAGCAATATGTAACTTTTTCCTGTCCTTCCTTGGAAGTTTCTTTTGCCCAGAAGCGCCATCAACTTCTGAAACAATTTCGTCCTTGTAGTTAAGTGACTTACAAAGTTCTGCAGAGATGAAAAAGGAACATGTTCAAAAAGATGAATTACTACTACTGCAACTGCCAGAGAGTAACCCAATAATGCTTATTACTGTTCACACTTACGAGATGAAACTAGGATGTTTCAATCAACATGTATGGGTCAAGCTTTAACATTAAGACATTAAATTTCTCCCTTTACTCAGTGTATGTGTAAATTATCAGTTTTAGATTGGATTAGTCTATTCCGTATTTAACTCTCCTGTAAGCTGCTCTGATAAAAGACACGAATTGGAAATTCAAGTTGGTTAAAAAATACTTATATCACACCAAATACAGATGCAAATAATTTGGAAAATGCTCCCATTTGCGGTACACTTTCCAAATACTAGTTTTCCAAATATTACAGAACAAGTAAAATATTATTTAATTATTACACCCATCGTGATAAGAGAAATTTTCATATATACATTTCTATTTGGGACCCAAGTTTTTTCGAAAAATAAATTTAATCATAAATTTGATATTGTTAAACACACTGATTAATACATGAAAACAACAAAGTTTCATGATATAAGTTTCGGTTTATAATACGCTTTGCTAGTTGGTTAATAATGGTTTAAAACATATAATATTATCAAATAACATATTTTAAAAAAGATACAAGACAAATTAATAGTTATTTTGGTTACATGTATAAAAAATAACTTGTGAAGGATCCGTATCTTTTATGCCATACTCCTCATTTACATTAATATTATACTAGAGCACGTTCATATATTTTCCACATGCAGGAGGCCAGGACCCATTTCTTTCTAATCATTCTCCTACGTTTGGCCAAGTTATTTATCATGACTTTATGAGACGTTTTCAAATGCTCTAAGCCTCTATTACATGCTATCAAATATCCAATCCCATAGTTTGTTATTCAAAATTCTTTTCCAACCCAATTTTTGAAATTTTTGTTGGTGTTTATCTTTATTTCTTTTCTTGTCCATTGCCTCCCATTTCAACACATCCAAGGAACATTTAGACCTTAGATCATCTCCAATCCTGCACCAAAGTTTGCAACAAACTAAAAATCATCTCCAACCCAGTACACTAGAAGTTGCACCAAATGAATAGTGTTTAATCATTTTCTCTATTTTTTTTATTCTTAACAATTTATATACTGAAAAATTATTTATTTATTTAATTTACTACTACATAAATTACTACATACACAATTATGTTTCGCTTATGAAAATATTAAACTATTTAACAAATTTTAAAAATGTAGTACAATTAATAAAAATACCATAACTAAGAAAATATCAAATAATGTTATTTAAAATAATGTAGTACATTCCGAATCCCGAAATTGTGATACGATAAAGTCGACCTAGTGTCGTAATTTAATTATCGGAATTCATATATTCATCCCACAAATTTTAAATAATCATGTTTTTTGCATTTTAAGCCCCCGTTTGGTCCCCATTAAATTAAATTTCATTTTTATCTCTCCTATTTTCAATTACACAATCTTTCTTAAAATAATATTACATGTAAAGCGAAAAAAAATTTCTTCTTTTTTCAACTACCAATTTAAAAAAAAAATACTATTCCACCCATTTTCATTTGAAAAAAATGGGGACCAAATGGGGGCTAAAACTTTTTGAGTACTTTTATTTAATTCATTCCTCGATTATTATTGATTACATGATTAAAATTTATTACAAATAATAATAATAATAATAATTAAGAATTAAAATTTATATATAATGCAAAATGATACAAATACCCTTGATATCATTTGATGATAAATGAAAAAAGGGCAAAAATGACTTTCATCAAATTTGGTGCAAAATTTGGTATTGGGTTAGATTTGGAGCAAAATGGTTAAAAATGGTGATTTGGTGTTGTGGTTGGAGTTGTACTCATTATCACAATTTGATTTGCGCATAAATGACTCAGAGGTGCACAAAGCATGTCTCTATGTCCAAATAGATGATACAATAAAATGAATAAGAAATTACTTTATCCAAAAATCAAAGCAATGGGTTCCTTTCTTCTTTGATGTATTTTCTTCTTTCTTATCTAATAATACTCTTTCGCGTTATCAAGAAAAATAAGTACGCAATTGACCAAATAAATGAAACCTCAAGATACAAAAATTTTGGAGAACAAAAATGAATCGAACCTGCATGTGCGGCATAATGACTGGCCTTAATTGGCTTCTTACAAGCATTGCAGCATACCTTCAAAATACATTAAGCAGCTACTTCACTAATTTGTTAGGTACGCTAGAAGTGAAGATTTAAGACATTATTCGCACAGCACTTGCCTTCAGTCAAGCTATTTATCTCAGGCTAAAAGTTAAAGGAGGCAAACATGTATAAACACATCAACTTCAAGAATATATATGATATTGAGAAAAAAGATGTGTTACTGCATACTCTCTAACAATAGGATTTCAAATGAACCGAGTTGATCGAAATTATAAATTACTAAAACTTGAATTGTTCATTTAATGCAATTTTTTTTCTAATTCTTTTTTGTAAAATTATTCTATAACATGTACGGGTGTTTATTTGTTAATTATTCATACGTAAACTACTCTCAATCAGCGAATTTGAAAAAAATATATATAATTTTTTTAGGAAATAGATAATGTTTAATAATTCATTTAAACAATTTTATAACAATAATTCTTTTAACTGAAAGTAATGCTTCATCTAAATCAAAAATATGAAGAAACAAGAAAGGGGAAAAAGAGAAAGTAATACATTTTAAAAGTCGTTCAATAATACTTTCAAATATAGTATTGGACAAAAGGGTAAAATGGAAAATGCCTATTTATTTTTGGATGACAGGATTGGGGGGG